TAGGGTGAAAGAAACTCTGCCCATTGTTTCTCACCGGCGCCTGGGATCGAACCCAGGACCACGGGATCACAAGTCCTGCGTGCTGTCCGCTCGGCCGACCGGATCCCTTTCAGGTCATTAATGTAGACGAGAAAGAGGAGAGGGCCAAGTATGCTAATGTTGATGGGTAGGGTGGGAGAAATTGAATTATTCACAAACATACTGGAGCCTGTCAATAAGGTAAGACTTAATGTACTGCAGGGAGTGACCTCTGACTCCATAATGTTGTAATTTAAGAAGAAGGTTTTGGTGGTTGACAGTGTCAAAAGCCTTATGCAGGTCTACAAATAACCCAACAGGGAACTCATTTTTATCAAGAGCTGTATGTATCAAGTTAATCATACCAATAAGTCCATCATCAGTGCTTTTTTGGGGTCTGAAACCATATTGACAAGAGCTAAGTATATTGAGTTTGTAAGATAAGAGTAAAGCTGCTTATAGATTAGTTTTTCAAATATTTTTGATAAGTTTGGCAGAATTGATATAGGTTTGAAGTTGTTAACATCAGTGGGATCACCACATTTGTGGACAGGGGTTACTCTCGCTTTTTTTAGAATATCTGGAAAGGTCTGGAGTTCAAGTGACTTGTTGAAGAGCAATGCAATGGCAGGAGCTAAAAATCTGGAGGCTTTTTTGTAAATAAGAGTTGGTATCTCCTTAAGGGCACTAGACTTGGTTTTAAGGGAAAGGATTATGTCAGTAACATCAGTGGAATTAGTAGGCATTAGGTACAGAGACTGGATAGTTTCCTGTAAGATAGTCCTGAATATTAGTTCTGGATGATGGAATATCATTTGCAAGGGATGACCCAATGGAAGAGAAGAACCTATTGAACTCGAGAGCAGTGCCAGAGGCTGAAAGCAGACCATCATTATTTGATAATGATGTAATGATTATTTGGTTTGTTATTTATAATCTTCTTTGATCCCAATATTTGAGAAATTGTGCTCCATGTTTTCTTAATATTGCCCTTTGTGTGGGAAAATTTATCTTCGTAGTATTTAATTTTGGCTCTCCTAATTATTTTAGATAGCAATGATGAATAATTCTTTGAGAATTCTTTGGAGACGATTCCTAACCTATACTTCTTCTCAAGGTCATATTTTTTATTAATGGATTTAAGTATCCCCTTTGTAAGCCAAGGATTGTTTAGCCTTTTAGTTGTGACTTGTTTCTTTAGCATAGGACAGTGGGTGTTATGAAGGCTGAGAGGTTTTTGAAGATTACACTGCTAGGTTGATGTCCCCTATGTTCCCTAATTCAGATTCCCAGTTGATATTAGCAGCAGCAGCAGCTATAAAATTGGCTATAGCAGTTTCATTGTGCAGCCTAAAGCTTATCTCCCTTGCCTCTAGAGGTGGTTTGTTAATGTTGGTTAGGAGAAATGTGGGGTAATGGTCTGTAGTGCTATCGATGATTATCCCTGAAGTAAGTGGAGAGGTTATGTTGGTCCAGATGTGATCAAGAGCCATGGCAGTACTGTCAGTGATTCTAGTAGGTCTAGTGATTCAACCCGTTCTCGCAAATTTAATAAGACAATATTGACTTATTAAATATGTGCATAGGTGACATACTTAACATAATAGATACCCTTAAAAAGATTCATAGAAAACACCGACCTTACCTAACCTTGTTAGTATCTTAAGATAAGCATCTTATTGCTTCGTAATTACAATTATTACCTAACCTATAATAGGTATAGGTTAAGTAATAATTGTAATTACGAAGCAATAAGATGCTTATCTTAAGATACTAACAAGGTTAGGTAAGGTCGGTGTTTTCTATGAATCTTTTTAAGGGTATCTATTATGTTTAGTATATCACCTATGCACGTAGTTAATAAGTCAATATTGACTTTACGAATTTGCGAGAACGGGTTGAGTGATTACGGGTATGAGGAAGCAGGAAGCAGATAATTTTAAGTAGGTAAATTCTAGCAGAATTAATAAAATGATAACAGATACATTGCAAGAAAAACATGAGATGAGAGAGATTAGTACTGTAAGTATATTAAAGCACATTGGTATATTAAAGCTCTGATTGATTACATTGACAACTTGATTGGTAATTTAAACAAGATTAATACACCATTTAAAAGCAATTCTGAAATTAGAAAGTGTAGCATAGGCCCCTAGCACAGGGTTCTTTATGTGGTCCTCAGGTGATAGTTTTCTATCAAGAACCACCCCTAGATCTCTTTCTTTAACAGAGTTCTTTAAAGATTTCTCACATAATTTATAGGTTGCGTGGGGTCTATTTTTTCCTATTCCACATTCCATAACATAGCATTTATTCACATTCAATTCCATTTGACAAGTGGTGCTCCATACACCTATTTTGTCCAGGTCTTCTTGAAGGGCATTGTAAGGGCACAATAGTTGTAGCCTGGTTGCATGATAAGCTGTACATTAGAGTACAAACTCACGAAACCCGTTCTTATTTGCTTATAGTATAACTATGTACTTTAAACCATGAATGTAGAACCAATCTGCATTTATAAACACTTCAAACACAAGAGTAACCACGTGGAGCCAGTACCAAATTTTTGCATTGGCAGGACTCAAAGAACCAAAGTGTGTGCATTACACTTATTTAAACACAGAAAAAAGGATAATTTACTAACAAGGAATAATTTCTCAATCGCCCAATTACAGTTCCAAACACTCAGATATAAATAAGAAGTCGATACCCTCAGTGAAGTGGGGGTATCTCAGGAGCACCCACTCCCTTTCCAGCCCGTTGTCATCCTGAGGGGGGCTTGGTAGACGGCTGCTAGGGTGTAATGCTCCATGAGACGGTCCTCTGTCCTTTTGGAGCCTTATGCTCCTGCTGCCATCTTCACTAACTCTGCTGGTCCCTATCTCCTCTTCCTTATGTTTTATATCTGGCATTTATATTTATCTTCATTTTTTTTTAACCAGGTTTCTGCATTTATATTAGGAGTTTGTATTTTCCCAGGAAGCATTTAATTCATGGTGTTAGCCTAAGCTGAGCTAAATATTTTATTAATTAATTTATTAATTAATTATAATCATTAAAGAGGCTGTCAAATGCTCTGTGCAGACGGGCTCCCAATAGCCCGTCCTACATGGACATTTCGTTCTGAGTAGCTACATCTAAAACAACAACATGCCTTGTGCGCATCTCGATTGGTTTATCTTGTCTTTAGACATTGTCAATGGTGTCATAGTTGATGTTGATTGCATGTATCTTTGATTCTAATATTCTGATGAATTATATGCTGTGGAAATTGATCAGAGAATTATTAATAGGCTGCATGTAATTTACGAACAGTACTGTACTATTTTCTAAAAGATAAAATATAGTAAATTCCTGTATTGTATCTATTTGTAAGAACCACAATTGAGATAGAAACACAACTCATAGTTAAATATGAAAGTAGTTCCCGTGTGTCTGATCTTGCTACCAAGTTTGATAGGATGTTAAAATAGGATTTCATTGATACTTATTAATTCAATAGTAAAGATAATTTGGCATTTTAGTTAATTTTTCCTGTCATTGATTTTTGAGCATAACATTTGGAGCTGACTTGTCTTGGGTATTTCAAGTTATTCTTTAGGTGAATTGATAACATCTGTAATTATCAACAATTATAATAATTAATAACTCATAGTTAATTGCCGTAATTATCACAAGAAAGTTCTAAGTTCTTGGCTTTTCTATTAACTTCTTCCTCACGAGTCAGGGACGAATGCGTCAGTGAAGTTTACAGTGTAAAAGTGAGGATGGTGGCAGCAGATTAACATCAATCAGTGGTCTTATTATAATTATCTTTTTTAATTATCATAATTATAGTTTTTCTCACTGCACAGTGGTTTGTCTTCATGTTGGCTAACTTTGACTAAATATGAGGTTAATTATTATGGCTACAAATTGGTGAAGGTAAGCTTGACTTCTTATTAATGGTTACAGCAGTGTTGACCATAAACATTACAAAAGGGCATATTACAATTGGTGATATTACAATGGAGGCAGGGGCGAGATAGGTCGGCCTTCAAAGGTCCATTTGGAGGCTTTGAGGTCCAAAACTGGCCTCCAGGGAGGTAGGGAAGGTCAGAGAAAGGGGCAGGGGGGGAGAGTGATGTGGCCCAAGTACATTTAATAGCTACACCAGTGACCCACATCACAAATATATGGCTCTCGTCCTGATGTAAACTAAGAGTCTGGGAACAGAAAGGAAGACTCTGGAGGAAAAAGGAAGAGAGAAGGGAGAAAGGAGGAAAAAGAGGGAATAAGGAGCATGAGAGGGAATAAGGAGAATGAGAGAGAATACGGAGAATGAGAGAGAATACGGAGAATGAGAGAGAATACGGAGAATGAGAGAGAATACGGAGAATGAGAGAGAATACGGAGAATGAGAGAGAATACGGAGAATGAGAGGGAATAATGAGAACCAGAGGGAATACGGAGAAAGAGGAGAATAATGTAGGAAATAATAGAGATTTCCCTAGCTGTTGCACCTTCTATATACTGTGTAAAAAACAATAAATAAATAAATAAAATGTTAATGGATGTTATTCCAAATAGGTGGGTTGCATTATGAGTAATGCTCGGGATACGAGAGAGTAAGGTTTAACAAGCCAACCTTAGATATAATTACAGTGATTTATGACATAGGAAAGATTAAAATACTCTATCTTATAATTTTGGCAATACAAAATTTCCATAGATATTAGATAGATAAGGAAAGTATGGTACAGTACTATAAAAACATTTGCGGTTCAAGTCGGAAAAGAATGTTTCGGGGCAAAGGGACGTTTTCCGGCACTGTTTCATATGTAATCACATGTCTTTTATTTTTTTAATTATCCTTTGTTTTTATCATGAAATACGTACATAATAGTATCAATTTGTAAGAATTCATTAACGGTCATATTGAGTTTCATTATAGATGCTACAGTAATACTGTATAGATTTCTCAAGGAATGAAAATTTGATGCTGTGTTTGGTTCATTTATTTTACCTATACTGTACAAGGTACAGTATATTGTAATAAAGTGTTCAGTTTAAAATTTTTAGCTATTTCTCCTTTTTAAAATTATACTTTTTTGGCTCCGAAGTTCAACTTGCTGACACCAAGTGTCTACTGTGCTGTCACATCATACAGTTTCAGGACTGAGCACCTCCTCCCCTGCCTGCAAACAAAAAAAAAGAGAACAAATTAAATAAAATAGCTTATGACCCATTAACATTCTTGATTAAAAATTATACTTTAAAAGTGCCTTTTTGGGTGGCCCCCTCAATAGCACCTCCAGCTCAGGCATAATAGGAAATCAACGAACATGACAGGTTTTTCTGACAAACTCGGCCACTGGTAGAAAAAAACATTTTACGCAGATTTGCCTCCTCCTTGTAACAGGGAATGAGGTAAGGTAATTATCAAAAGAAGGCACCAAACCGGGAAGGCTATGTAGCACCATCAAAGTGCGAAATAATCAGAGGGCGCTAAATATCACCAAGAATGCCAATACGAGAACAAAAACGCATAAGGCGAACGATATCAAAAGTATCCGATTCACCTAGAATTCTATCGAGGGACAAGTGACCGCGAGGGACAGTCGGAAAGCAAGACACACGCTCATCCTGGAAGTCAGGACATTCAACAAGGACATGCACAACTGTAAGAGGGACAACGCAATTCGGACAATAAGGAGCAGGGCGGCGCTCCATTAAGTGACCGTGGGTTAAGCGAGTATGACCAACCCGCAGCTGTGCCAAAGCAGTTTCCCACCGCTGGTTACGGTGGCAGGAGGAAAGCCACGGGGACACACTACGTTTGAGAGTACGCAGCTTGTTACTAACCACAGAGGACCAACAACCCTACCAACGGGCAAGAATGGAAGAATGAATAACAGGATAAAAGTCGGAATAAGGAATACCTTTACGGGAGATGGGACAAGAACGGATAGCTTCCTTAGCGGCAGCATCCGCACGCTCATTGAAAGAAACACCAATGTGGCTGGGAACCCAGCAAAACTCTACTGATTTAAATTTACTAGAAATAAGAAACAGCCAATGTTGAATCTCGATGACCACCGGATGGACAGGATTAAAGGACCCTAGCTAGAGCCATGAGGGCACTACGAGAGTCAACTACAACCACAAAGGAGGAATGAGAATGAGAAAGCAAGAGACGAAGAGCATAGAGAATAGCATAAAGTTCTGCCGTAAAGATGCTAGCCTCCGAAGGGAGGCGGCACATATAAGTACGGTCAGGAAAAACAATAGAGTAGCCCACACCGTCCGCAGACTTGGACCCATCTGTGAAGATGGAAATAGAGTGGGAGTGCGAAGAAAAGTGCTCAAGGAAGAGGCTTTTCAGAATTGTAACAGGGAATGAGTAATACAGTAATTCCTGTTTGTCACTGAAAGACAGCCTGCACTCGGGCTTATCGAGGTTCCCTTCCTAGGCCAATTACTGACCTTTCCAAGGATGCAACCCATGTGGAAACCAACCTGTGAGATATATATTTAATTTATATGAATTTATATAGAATTTATATTACTGTACATTAATTTATATATTTTGATAGCAATTTTTATGATGTTTAGCGGACTGTATTTCTGCAATATTCTCACTACTCGATTCCTTGCACATTAGGGGGGTTATATTAAATTTATATATATGCAGTCAAACTACAGTATTAAACTACACATATTAGTAAATAAATTTTGGAGGCCTTATCTTATTGTATGGTGGGCCTAGTCCACCAGGTATAGCTAGGATGTAGACACCAAATAATCCTCGTGCGAGGCTAGCTTACAACACCCAAGTAACTGATGTACCAAGATTAATTCTTGCTTCCTCTTTTATAATTCCTGTCAAAGGGTACTAGCTGTAAAGCCATAATCCTAATATATGACAGCTATATCAGATGAAACATTTGTTATATTATTAGATAAGGACCAAGGAATAATTACCTGGGTTGAGTCATTGCCTCATGTCCTAACCGGAATTAATCATATCTACCTCACATTACTGGCCAATAATGACTTGGATAAGATTTCGGAAAGACACTTCCCTTGTTTGGATGTTAACTGCGTGTTAATGATGATGGAAGAAGCACTAATTTGATCTCCATAACACTTCGTCCAAAGGAAATTATAGGAGCTGAATTTGCTCCAGTGACTCTGGAGCTCTACAGTCTTAACCCTCAAACCGCACATATCATATATAAATGATATCAGTGACAAAACCGAAACCGTGCACATCATTTATATATGATTTTGTGTCTAGCGCTATAATTTAAACGCCCCGCCTGGGATAGGGGCAGCTATAGTACAGCCACTACTGATAGTTGCCAGATGCCACCTAGAAAAAAAATCCAGGCCAACATTCTTGGGTGTTACAGCATCAGTATTGAGCAAGCCACCAAGGCTGGCGCATGCAGCACGAGCTCACAGCACCGCTGTTCAGCTTGTGACCACAGCATCGCCTACAAATACCATAATATAAATGATACTGCTATTATTTAGCAGTGATAGTATTACTGAAGCCCCCCTGACTGTGATAAAACTGACCAGGATTCTGATAATAGCAGAATTGTGGTGATATTTAGCGCTGTGCTCCATGTAGGGAGGAGTAAGGCTGTGGAGGGAGGGTTGTGCATGGCGTCTTTTCCTGACTGAGTGGCCACCATTTATTGACTGCACTCACCATACCAGCTTATTGGTTCGCTATGGTGAACACAAATGTAGATACTTACTTATATATAACGTGTGTATAGTGTGAGATAACAGCGAGAGGAGTAGGTTGGGAGCCGCCATTTTGGTGAGGGAGGAGCGTCGTCTGCACGAATTGGCATGTTGTTTACTGATGGCCACTATGGTCTTTGGGCACCATACCAGCTTTATTGTACAGGTATGGTGAATAAAACAGGTAGATACTTATATATAATGTGTGTATATAGCGTAATAACACCACAAACAATATTGTTGGAGGACAAATATTAGTGCGTCTGGCCTTGAGGGCGGCCGCCGATCAGCTGACTGTGTGAGTAGCTACGTCTTTGTGCCTTTACTCACCATACAAGCTTAGATGTACAGTTATGGTAAACAAAACATGTAAATACGTATATATAACGTTTGTGTATAGTGAATAAATACAGAAACAGAATTGCAGGAGGTGAATGAGGGTGAGTGAGGTGGTGTTGAGGGAGGGAGTGGCAGTGAGTGGCTCGCTGGTGTTTGGCGGTCACTCCTCGTTGCTTTTTGACTCACAAGACCAACTTAGTAGTTCGTTATGGTGTACAAAACTTGCAGATACTTATATATAACCTGTGTATATAGTGTAACAACAGCAAAACTATTTGTTTATTGTTTTATGAACATAATAATTGAATCACTAATATGCACACCATAATTTTGAGTACAGCGATGGTTCACACATTTTATAATATAAATATACCACAATTCACTGTATGGAATAATATTACTGCAAAAAAAACTAAGAAAAAATCAATCAGAGATATTGAAATAATTAGGTAATAATATATTTGTGGCAACTGCCGTCTGACAGCTCGGGCAGAGTAGACCTCGTCTGGCGAAGGCTCTGCCAACACCCCTTTTATGCCACACTTCCCTACCCTATTGCGGCTAAAATATGCCACCTACGATTTTTTTGTTATTTTTTCCGTGATCAGGGAACAAAAATGAACAATTCTATAAGACGAAAGAAATTTTTGGATTTTTTTTTTTTTGTTGCGCCTGTGGGTGTGAATTCCATTTGGGCCCCTAGCAGTTTGAGGGTTAAACAATGGCTGATCTCCCTCACCACTGACGCTCCTGGCTCTCTTTGTCCAGATGTCAATAAGTGATAGAAGATAGAAGTCACATTTACTCTATTTTGATACTGTTAATTAAGTTAATTCAAATGAGATGTTTTTATGATGTTATAAGTCCAAAGACAACTGTATTAAATATAATTCCCAACAGAATAGCTGGTGAATTTATAGCACTATGTGGCAATGATATTCCATTTTCTATTGACGGAAAATTCCACTGTGCCACGTCTTGTATGGGAGAATTTATATACCGTTTTATATAATATTATATATATATATATATATATATATATATATATATATATATATATATATATATATATATATATATTAGTATATTTTGGTAGCAGTCTTTCCTGTAGACATATATTATTATATATGACCGAAAAAGTAAGATTAATAATTCTAACACGAATTTTCTCGATCTTTCGTACGTTTCTTTTCACTGTTGGTGGTAATTCAAAAATCAATTCTCCAAAATTCATTTTTATTTCTAGTCCGACGCGACACTTGAGCGCGTTTCGTAAAACTTATTACATTTTCAAAGACTTTAGCTTACACATACACAACTGAATAGAACTTACACATCTTCGATTTGTTTATATCTACATTTGAGTGAGGTGGATGGGGTGAGGTGGTATTAATAGGGTATTAAATTCCTAAACACAAGACAGAACACGAAACAATGGGTATTGAATGGAAGTGATTTGTAGAAAGCCTATTGGTCCATATTTCTTGATGCTTCTATATTGGAGCGGAGTCTTGAGGTGGGTAGAATATAGTTGTGCATTAATTGGCTGTTGATTGCTGGTGTTGACTTCTTGATGTGTAGAGCCTCGCAGACGTCAAGCCGCCTGCTATCGCTGTATCTATCGATGATTTCTGTGGTGTTTACTAGGATTTCTCTGGTGATGGTTTGGTTGTGGGAAGAGATTATATGTTCCTTAATGGAGCCCTGTTGCTTATGCATCGTTAAACGCCTAGAAAGAGATGTTGTTGTCTTGCCTATATACTGGGTTTTTTGGAGCTTACAGTCCCCAAGAGGGCATTTGAAGGCATAGACGACGTTGGTCTCTTTTCAAGCGTTCTGCTTTGTGTCTGGAGAGTTTCTCATGAGTAGGCTGGCCGTTTTTCTGGTTTTATAGTAAATCGTCAGTTGTATCCTCTGATTTTTGTCTGTAGGGATAACGTTTCTATTAACAATATCTTTCAGGACACTTTCCTCCGTTTTATGAGCTGTGGAAAAGAAGTTCCTGTAAAATAGTCTAATAGGGGGTATAGGTGTTGTGTTGGTTGTCTCTTCAGAGGTTGCATGGCGTTTCACTTTCCTTCTTATGATGTCTTCGACGAAA